TCAGAAGATATTCTTTGACTATCTTTTCCTCAGTCTGCTTTCTCTCTCTCTTTTTTTTAATTTGCTGTTCTAAAGGTTTGTTCTAATAATATTTAGGGACCTGATTTTTAAAAATCCCTAGTATCATTAGCTTTTTATCAGATACTGGAAGCCAGACTTCAGTTTGGCACGCTGTGGAACTTTGTATACCTTAGGCTTGCAGATACCTATGTAAATAGCCTCCCATTTTTCATTATCTTATATGATGCTTTCCCTGAATGTTTCCATCCACCATTGTCTGAAGAAACTGAAATAATACAGATAAACTTGAGGAAGTTCATCTTTTCAGTCACAGAGTTGCCAGCAATGTGTTTATGCTGATGGTTAGTCTGGATGGGAGGAACAGTCAGCTGCTGCTGTTAGCCTATGCTAAGCTTTGTATTTAATCTCTTTGTGTCTCCAGCTGCCCTGACGATGAATACAAAATAACTTGCTAATATAATAGAAGTTAATAAATAAAAGTCAGTTTATTCAGAGTCTTGATGTAAATCATTATTTTTATTATTTTCTTTTTTTTCCTTGAAGATATAAACTGGATGTGCTGACTTTTCATTACCAAAATTCAATAAGCAATATCTATAAACTGAGTCCTCTATTTCATTTTAAGTCTGGTTTTTTGACATATTTCTGCCTCTATTCTGTTAAGGAGACATGCAGTTTGCATGGAGAAAACTTTTTAAAGTTTCAGGCCAGATGAGATAGGCTGTTAGAAGATGACTTTCTTTTGGTGCTGACTTTCCTTTTCAGGCTACTCATTCCTACTTCCATATCATTCTGTCAGGCTAGTGCGACTGTGCAGCTGCATGGTAAACTGCATCAGCAAGCTAATCTAGACTAAAAATTATCCAGGGGAAAAAAAACCCAAACAAACCAAAAATGGTTGTTTTTAACTCTGAACAGTTTCTGAGGAAGGTGTTCTTATTAAGGCTGAAAGAAATGCTTATGAAATGATGACCATGGCTGGAAAATGTATATGGGCATTCTGTTTGGAAGTCACTTTGCTCAGTCTGGGAGGGCACTAAGTCCAGACTAAACAGGTTAAAGACAATTGCTACTGGATAATTGGATTATGTGATAAATTAAGCCACTTGTGGAGCAGAGATGGGTCTTAGGAGGGAGAGAGGTGACAGGCCATTATGGAACAGAAGGAGAAGAATCATCAGCTCTTGTGAAATTAGGACAAGCTGTAGCTGCAGTTGTGGCTATAGTTAGTATGGTCCGAAAGCTGATATTCCTATCGACGTTGCTTAAGTATGTATTCAACACATTACTAAGATTACTTATGTAGTATATATTCCCTGCATTTGTTATAATTATGCTGCTTTAACTTAACAAACCTCTTTAGTCAGTGGGAAAAATTACCGGAACCAAATTCATATCTATTGTAATTTTATCAGGCCTCCCTACTGGTTTGAAATGTAAAGGATCAGTCAAAAGTCTTTTTTTCATAAAACAGTGGATTTTGTTAATTAGTAAAAATCAGTCTGATGAGCAGAATCATGTTAAGAAGCACTTTCCTCTATACTGTTAATTCTTGTAAAAGAGACTAATTCTTCTCAGTTGTTGCAAGTATCTAGTTCAAATTCATTGTCTGCATTTCCTTTGTAGTTAATGGATGGGGGGAGAGAGAGAGAGATTAAGACCTTCAGGGTGCATTTCCATCCCAGCTGGTTTAGGATGAAGTAAATTGCTTTCTGAAGATGCTAGCTAGGGTCTCTTGGTTTTTCAGAGGGAGCATAGGTCTAAGTATGCACTAAGTATTTTCTTTTCAGACAGCTAGTTGTGGGAGGTGAGTCCCACTGAACATGTCATTTGTTAAGATCATTGTGTGGGCTGTGACCTAAACATTACGGTTTATATTTCTTGCACAACCCTTATTTATATTTTAGCATAGCTGTTATATAGTCAGCACGGCTACCTGATTATAAACAACCAGTTCTTGAATCCCATTAAGCTCTTGGCTCCTGTGCATACCACACACATGTGAATTCAGTAAGCTAACTGTACCGTTTGTAAAACAAGTATTTACTTTCTTCTGTTTGTTTGTGAAACTGCTCAGATTAATTAGATGTCACCTTGTTCTTGCATGAGGAGGCACGCAAGAGCCCATTTTATTACTCTTCATTTCAAGTCAAATCATACAAATCTTTTTGGAGCTTCTTTTTCTGGTAATTTTTGTGAGAGTCCTCCTCTTGTCTGCCAAAGTCTTACTGTGCTGGTATTATGCTAAGAAACATAACGTTACAAGCTTGAAGAGTACAACAGATTTGTATAATAGCTTGGGAATATTTTTCCTATTATTTTCCATCCTCTTTCTTATGTATGCAAACAAGGTGTTTGCTGTTTTGATCACTGATACCCACAGAGCAGATGTTTTCATTGAGCTTCCCATACTGATGCATAGGTCTGGCTTTTGTTTTGTTTTTCCTGAGCTGGTAACAGTTCACTCTAACCCTAGCAGTGAGTTATTCAAATTAATCCCTTTTGTGTGCATTGCTTTGCATTTGTCAACATCTAATTTCATCTGTCCCTGATGTTGAATCACCAGTAGCTCCCACACATGGAGCAGTAGATACTAAAGAGGTATTAAAATATGTGGCAAAGAATGACAAAAACTGCTAGAGGACTGCCAGTTTAACTTCTCAGGAGAACTAGGTAAAGTCTTGTGTTTGATTTGTATTCTGTGTTGGAGGAAACTCAGCACAGTTCTGATTTCCTTTCAGTCGAATATTTATCGTAATTAACATACACATGGGAAGACTGCATTCATTCTGCCTTTTGACAGACACCCTGGTCTCTTCAGACCTTCTGCTGTCCTGAGCTACCAAGGATAAGCAAACTTTTGGATTTGACTCAAAACATCAATTATCTTAAGCCATGTTCTGCCTTCTGCACCATTTTTTTCAAATGGCTTCAAACCAATTGAGGGTGCTTGGCTGCACAACAAGCTGTAGTTTTGCTGAGATTTAGTGATTCTTCGATGCTTAAAGAGCATGTTGGGCCACTTTGCTGAAAGCACAGATTAGAGTAGCTTTATTAGCAAACAGTGTGGTTCAGGTTAACAGAGGGCTGAGAAATTTTATGGAACAATGTATCTATGTTTACAGTGAAATTCACCTATTATAACACAAATACTCCCATGAAAATCCAAATTGGTTCTTAAGATGAAACATTGATGTTTTGTTTATAGCATCTTTCACCATTCATATCTGCCTTCAGTTCTGATATTTTATTCCTACAGGATGACACAGACATTATGTTTCCCACATCCCATATGTCCAAATCATGTATAAAGATATTTAGCTCAAATACCATGCGTGCAAAACATTCCACACTGTGGGTACGAGGTGACGTTTGGTGTGTCTTTAACGTGCTGTAGTGTTCAATTACAATACAGCAAATTTATTTTTATGCAGCCTTCTTCATAGAAAGTATGGAAAATTGCTTTGCAGTGAGTCATCTGTCAGCTAAAGAACTAAAAGTCTTGTAGTGATATTTAAAGAGAGAAAGTGGCTCAGAGCTGACAGAGTTCAAGACAGAAAAAGAAACAGAAATGAAAGAGAGAGCCTCCAACCATGGAGAAAATAGAGGCAAAGACTGGTAGGGGGAGGAGTGATGAGAAAGCCAAAGAAGCTGAGAATGTCAGAGGCAGTTCAGGAGACTATGCAGATCATTTGGTAACAAGCGTTGGGCTTCAGGTGTCTCTCCTGCATTACACCAGCATTAGCCAAGCAAAGATTCTTTGACCCTAAGGAAGTGGTGGAAAACCAAGTAAGTAAGAGAATGGCTTAAAACCAGATAAATAAGAGCACTGGGCTCGGTGCACTGTGAGGAATTCAGAAACATGCAGGTAGAGGTTGAGGGAAGGGTAAATGGCTTAACTTTCTAGAGCAAGATATTAGAAGAACACTGGCATTCTGCACTCCATGATGTTTAAACATGGGAGGATTTTGTTAGACCATGAAAGAGGGAATTTTAGTTAATTAGGAAGGAGTTATTATCGGCATGAATGTGGACGTCGGCAGCAGTGCAGCAAAGGAAAGATGGATTCTGGCAGTCTTCCCTTGCTGTGGTGCCAGGAGGGCTTACACTCAGAAATGAGTGTGTGGGAGAGGCAGTTCAGGGTCAGAGATTACTTCAGAACTCAGACTTTGTGCACAGGGATAAGATCTGAGTAAAGAAGCATGAAGGCTGTCTTGGAGAGCAAGAGGGACTTCTTTCCCTTGACATTTGAGCCTTTTGAAGAGTTAGCTGGTAAGGAAATTATAATGTAGCAAGGGAATGACAGAACCAAGACAGGCTATTAAAGAGATCAGAGATTACTTGCCAAGGTCACTGATGCCTTGCATGCTTTCCCTATAAAGTTGATGTCCAAAGCTGAGCTAGCAGTAATATATCCCAAAGGAGGAGGATGTTTAAGGAGGAGAAAGTAGAAGAATCAGAAACAGATGGCTGGTGTTTTTAAGGCACAGCGCTATCGTGGAGGGATATTGTCGATATAAGCACTATCATCTTTTATTGTGAATTACATGCATTCTTCTTGCGTTCTTGGTCAAGTCTACCAACTGGTAGTGTGGGGCTCCTGGGGGAGTTCTCTCATCCCATGTCCCCCAGCCTGCCCGTACTGGTTTTTACCCTGGCAATTCTTTTGACCTCACTCTGTGTATAGAACCATATTATCTACCTTAAGAAAGTAAATGTGATGTAAAGTATGTAGCACAAAGGAGAGTACGGTCTTTATTGAAAGCAGAAGGGAAAAGAACTTGTATTCTTACTCAGTGCATTCAGAAAAGTTGGCTTTGATATTGTAGCACTGAAAGACATTCTAAGCATAAAAGTAAGGTTAGAGCCACTTAGACATCCCAGAATTTGAAGGGAGTAATATTTCATTGTATGCAGTTCCAGAATGCTTATTACAGATCTTCTTATTTACAACTATCCTGTCTCTTTTGAATCTGCAGTGGAGGAATATCAAGGACAAACCAAGAGAAAGCGCCTTCGAAGGAAGAAACAAAAGAGCAGTTTGCAAAACTCTAATAATTTACATGGAGAACAAACAGAATCTGGAATGCAAGAGACTATTGTTCAAGATAATTTACAGCTGCAGCAGATAGACAGTCCCAAAATAAGCAAAAACAAAAAGAGGAAAATGAAAAAGAAGCGACAGAAAGAAAAAATGAGAGCAGCTGGCTTGATAACAAAAACTACCGGTGTCGATTTTACATATCAGCCTGACAAAAACAACACAGAAGAAGCAGCAGGCTTAAAAGACATAGATGAAAAGGCAGATAGCATTCTGGACTTCCTGCAGGCAACACAACAAATTTATTTTGCTGACAGTATGTACCACTCATTCTCCTTTCTTTTCATGAGTTTTACCATGTAGGGGAAAATAGATGTGCACTTATTATTGCTGTAGAATGGGCCAAATCTACTAGAGAATTGTCTCTTTTGAACTTAGTAAGACATGTGAGTACTTACTATTTGTCCCATTTTCTGGTGTGTACATGAATATGTAAGAATCCACATCAATGTAAAAAACTGTGGTCCTAATCCTTTTGCTTCTCTGTCTTTGAAAATATACATAATATTCCTTGCTCTTTTTTAAAACATTCTAATGCACTTGGGGTAAATGCAGTGGTTAAAATGGACCAAATTCTTCTTTCCTCTGCAAGCAAACATCCAGAGGATTACTTGCTTTCAGAGAGCTTCAAATGAGGGCAATAATTGCGATCCCAAACTACTTTCATGCTTACTATCTCTGAACCAACGTACTTTTCAGAAAGTTCTCCTTCCCAGGAAGACATTTATTTGTAATATATAGGGAAATCTAGACAGACAGCATCCAAGAGGAAAGGGAAAGATATTGTTGGCACTGAGAAAGTGTAGTGGCATAAAGCACTTGTGAACTAGATGAATGTGAACTGATGCTCAATGCACGTTCCATAGCACTTTAGAAAGGACTGTATGGATGTTATCCCTAATGGCCTACTGAATGTTCATCCGACCACTAAAATCAGAGAAATTCCTACTGTATGTTTCTTCCGTTGCCTTCCTAAAAAGCTGCTTATGTCATAAATGCCTTTCAGAGATAATACAGTTTTAATGGCAAGCACTATAGTACTTATCTGTACATACACCAGATTACGTTGGTATCATCTAGAATTGAATATGTTTTCTTAAGGGCAAGCTGGTGTGTCCTTTGGTTGCTCAGCTCAGAACATAGCTTTAAAATGATAATTGTTTTGTAAAACTGGAAAAAAGCAGTGAAAAAATTTTCAAAGTGCATGGCCTTGAGTGTCTTTGTGGAGCTGAATGAAGAATATTAAACAGTTTACCTACCTGTATGAGTACATCTTAAGTCAGAGCTGTCAGCTTCTAGGCCCATAAAATTCATCTTTAGACTACAGAATTACTTTAAAAACCCTGTTAAGATGACATCAGGGATTTCATGTTAATTTTTTCTCAAGATTTATACATAGAAATTTCTTTGCTTAGTGTTAAAATTTTTCTGCTGTGTCAGGTCTTCATACTAAGCCTAGCATTGGAAATCCATCCTACCTTCTGGCTAATGTATTTCCATCACCAAAAATAAGAATTTTACTACTTCAGTGTATGGCTAAGTAAATGTAGGCTAAACTACATGCATTTGCTGTAGAGGAACTCCAGAGTAACTGAGCAAGATTGCAAACTGGGTTAACAGTTCTGCTGTTAATACATGACCCAGAACAGAAACCTGATCAATTTTCCACAGCTCTGTTGCATGTTGAATTTTAAGAAAAAGCGTGGAGCTTCCAGCTTTCCTGAAAGTAAAGTTAAGGTTTTAGCAGTAGTTGACAGACTGACTGGGCCTGGAGTCGAACCTGCAGATTGGAAGGTTGAGCCACTGAGGACCTTGGAATCCACAGAGAGAAATTCTCCGGTAAAAGAAAGTTCATCTGCAGATAAGATGTCACATCCATAAATCAGAGTGTGACTAACTTTCTTGTTAGGCAAATCCCAGTTTATATATAGATCTGACATTATGCTGTTTGCCTTTTCTAGTTGAGTGACTTTAACACTCCCTATTTTTTTAGATAAAATTGGAAGCCATTGCTTTTAGCAGCATTTTCAAATGGTCACATTGGATTATACTTCTTATACTTATGTCAGAAAGCTGAATCGGGAGAAATCTGTTCTTCTCAGCTGGCTTGCTGGTAAAAGCCAGAAGAATTAAAGACAGTCTGATTAAAGGGATAGACTATACATTGTTACTGGAATGGAAGAATGAATTTATGCTTCAGTACTGTAGAAACAATGTATGTCCTTCTCTGTTGTCTTGCATGCTGTAATATGTGCTTTTAAAATAAAAACGTAAAAGTACAATAACAAGATAATTGGATGCCTCCAGAAGTGCTTTGCAGTAGTACCACAGAGTTGTTCCCTGTCTCCACATGTGTGTGCATTTTTATAATAAGTAGTGTGCAGAAAGCAAAAACACAGTGCTTTGGCCACAGTATGGTTTCTTCATCACACCTTCTTCCCGTGCTAATCTTGAAAATTTAGATTTCTATTGTATTCCTGTCACTATGAATCGTTTTGTCCTTTTTTACTTTCTAAATTTGATACTTACCCCTCTTACCATTGTTTTAATATTTAATGAAAAATGGGAGGAGCAAGCTGCTCTTTAGTACCTGATATTTGTTTGTAAGTTGTACTAAAAAGGAAGATGCTGTCTTTGAAAAGAAGGTATCATAAGGAAAATACTCTGTGCTCATTGAATATTTTTAATGTAGTTTTCCAATTGTTTTTCCAGATAAATCAGAATGCACGGATTCTGCTGTAAATTCAGCAACTGCCCAAGAGCTTTTACAATATCTTGAATCTCGCACCATCTCTTCCTCAGATGTGACTCTTCTACATCAGCTGAAATCCCTTGTATTGCTCCAGGATATCGAGAGATTGAAGGATACTTTGAAACAATTCCAAGAACAATCCATGATGCCTCCTGGTAGGTACCATTCACTTATGTTCATTCACTGATGTCCTTTCTTGTGTGTATTAAAATTCAGTTTTGTCACAGGTTTTTTTATTAGGAAGCAGTAAATAAATATATAGTGGTACATATATGCTTATATAAGATTTGAAAGCATAGTTCCCACTGAAAATACAGTGATTTTCCCTGTTTCTTGTTTGGTTATGATCAATACAGAAACTGCATACTTTGCAGCAACTAAAGAGTACAAGATGATTCAGGGTCTTAAAACAGTATTTTTTAAATCTTAACTGTTTTAAGATTTAATCAGGTTTAAAGCATATTTTTAATGCATTGTAGACTTCTTATATCACAGGAGTTAACTTGTTTATCTTGGAGATTCTACTCATCCAGTTAAGGATTAATTTTACATGCATAAGAATCAATAAAGTCCATTATTTCATTTCTTCTCAGTCACCTACATGGCTTCTTTAACACATAGATTTTGCATACCAAAGTTTGCCTTACAGCTTTGTTTTTGTTTAAATATAAATCTCTGGTTTAAGTTTCTAAAAAATACTGTTGATTACGTAAAAACATGAAGTCACTCTTTATAATAAATGATATTATAAAGTCATTCATTAAAAGAAAAATTATTCTGTTACTAAATCTTTTCATCCCTGAGGCACAAGTCTGATTTCATTCATGCTCCTTTTGTTCTCTATTATAATCCCTATAATTTTAGTAGAGTTTCTTCTTGGACAGTTAATAGTTCCTCAAGTGAATGTGGGATCAGCATGTAGTCCATAGACGATATAATAATTCATTTTCCAAGTAATCTTCATTTAAACAGCCATTGTTACTTGTCATTAGTCCATGAGTTGCGGCATCAGCCAAATCTACAAGATGTGCTGAATTTTCTTGCCTCCCAAATAATTTAATCAGAGTTGAGAGCACTTGCTATGGCACGAGAGAATCTCAGCCATTTTAGATTGTGCTCTAAGTCTTTTGAAGAGTAATGACTGAGCTGGTAGTAGCGTGGTAACAGAGTAAATAAGATCATAGCCGTCAGAGGCTTAGCAATAACATTCAAAGAAGAGACTACTGCTTGTAACGTCATTAAATACTTTACTGCATGACAGTGGCTAAAGATCCCAGTCACGACTGGAGCCTACTGCATGCTGTGCATTGTAAAAACACAGAAAAAAGAGAATTCCTGCCTGCAGAGTTGGTTAACTGATACATTTTGAAAAGGACACTCTTACAAAAGTACATATGTATTCTTTAAAGTGTAGATATGGAGTATGACAACCATTAAGGTTCTTATAGATCTGAAGTATCCACATATACATGGAACAAAATCCTTCTGTGCATTCAATAATTAATTTCAAGCCTAGATTCTATGATCTTAATTATAATCAGATAGTCTCATTGGATGTAATACACATTTGCAAACTAGGTAGGACTCAGCAGGAATAGTGGTAATGGTATTGGCCCTTTATTAAATAACCTAATTCAGCTTCTGTTGATTAAACCAAAATGGAGCTGCTGAAGTGACCACATTCAGGATGTTCCTTACAGGCTTTATCCAAATTCTACTCAATACAGTAAGAACTCTGTTTGGTTTTGCAGCCTTGAGGCAAGCCACTCTGTTTACTTTTGTATAGTAGAAATGTCAAACTGAAGAAAGAAAAGTAAACAAAAGCAAGTTAGAAACAAACCCGTGCAACTACCCTAATTTTCTGATGTATGTATTTGTCACTTGAAAAAGCAGAAGACAATTTTCTGAGTGATTTTTAAAATTCATTTGTTTCTGCTGATAGAGTCTGAAAATGTTTACTCTTCCAGTTGATTTTTTTTTTTTCCTAGTAACTGTTGTCACTCCGGGCTCATTCCAAGTTCACAGTGGTGTAACTGTAGAGTTGATTTGATATTTATGAGGTACAACAACATAAGAAAGAGGAAAATACATTGTTATAAATTATTAAAGGATAATTAAACACGTGCTAGATATTAATTTGCCTCAGCAGAGTTTAATAATACATTCCATTTGTAATTCAGGAATTTCTGTGAGTGAGAATATAGTACTCTGAAATTGTACCTTGAATTAGGCTTTTAATTATACTTTTTTTCTTACTTTTGGCTTAAAAATAGGTCATCTTGCCCAGTTTTTTTAAACTTTAGACTTCATTCCCAATTAACAGGTGATAAAAGTTATTACAAAAACTTGTGTCTCAGCAAATTCAAGTTTATGAAGATAAAAATGTACAGTACATCATAGTATTCTCAGGTTTTTTTGCAAATTTGTCTTTTTTCTGTTTTGTTTATTTTTACTGGGGCATGATGGACTAGAAAAAAGGTCATTCCTTATTAACATTGTGAAAAGAAAATAATTTTTCTTAATTTTAGCAAGGTGTATTATTTTTACAAAATAAATCTATTTTATTCCCTGTAGTTCAAGAAGCAGCATGTTAACCCTTTTCCCGTGGTTATGATTTTACTTAAGATGCCAGCATCAAAGGAATAATAATGGGTGCTATGTTTTGTTGAGTTTTATCTTTAATTCAAGGCTGGAAACAGTAGAAAAAAAAAGAGAAATAATCCATCTCTTTCATGTAAGTGCACATTCTCCATTAATAAACTTTACAAAGTAAACATACCATTATACATCTTTCACTTCCTCAGATATATATATGTTATGGTTTAATCTAGTTTTCCACTGGGGCTACCAAGTCCCACTTGGGAAGTTTATGCCTACTGATGATAAATTTGCTTTTCTTGGTAACATTTTACAGACCCTTTAGAGTAAAGCTGTGGGCTGCCCCAAGTCTGCAGACCACAAATTGAAAACCACTGGTTCAAGACCATGTTTTGGTATTTCCTTCACACCTCTTAGCATGTTACTCATGCTAGGGGACTCATGGTTCAAGCAAAAGAAAAAAGAAAGGATGAAGAAAAAAGTTTATCTTAAGCTCTTAGATCCCACTATTTGCAGTCATATGAAAGAAAGGTCTAAGAAGGTTGGTGGTAGGGTCTGAAAAATTTTGCAAGAAGATGAAGTTGCTAAGGAGATGGAAACAGAAAAGTTATCAACATTAAGGTATTATTTTTAACCCTTCATTTAAATGAGAAAACATACTTGAACAAGAAAATCTCTATGGTTAAGAGATACTGATTGTTCTGTCTAGTTGTCATCCTCCATCAACTTACCTTATACTTTGTGCTTCAAGTTACTCCATCAAGTTACCTTCGACCTTGTACTTCAGCAATCGTACAAAGTTGAGGTTGGTCAGGAGTTTTTGTCTGAACATGGCTATTTAAAGTGTCATTGTTCTCAGACTGTAAAAAAGAACAAAATGTCCTATTACTATTTCCACTTATTTGGTAGTCTTTAACAAAAAGTACTTACCTCTACCTAAAGTCTTCTATAAGTGCAGGGAAGAGAATGTTTAGAAGTCAAATAGACACCCCTTTCTTGCGATGGGGGCTTGGCTGATCTCTGTCAGAAAGTCAGTGGCTGTTTGCAGAAGGAAGCCAGACACCTTCATGGTCCTGCACAGTGCAGTGGGCAAAGAAGAGGTGTGACTGGAAGTAATGCTCTATTTGCTGGTAGGAAACTGTAGCTTTTGAAATGAGGGCTACTTAATTCCCATTTCACATCAATTATTAAAGCATAGGTGATCGCCTAATTAAAAAAAAAAGTCGTTATCTCCTAATTTATGAACTCATTCAGCTTCTACTCATCTCATCAACTTCATTCCATTATCTATTAACATTTTCCCTTTGTTGGTGAGTATCAAGTCTCAAATATACTCTTCCCTTGTTGCCTAGGAAATTATCACTCACAGAAGAGCTAGAAGCTTCTTTTAACTGCCTTTTTTTGGAGAGTTGTCCTTTATATATGTCTCCATTGCAGGGGGCTGGGGGCTATATTTTGCAGACTAGAAGTAATACAGTTACTGTGTGCCAACAATGCACAAGCTGGATACACAGAGGCTTAAAATGATTGAATGTAACCTTTTTTTTTTTTTTTTGAATGAACATTCAAAGTAAAGGAAATGAAATGTGAAAGCTATATTAGCATAACATTATAGAATCACCTTAAATGTGATATTATGTGATAGATGCGTAGAAAGTCCTGTTGTTAAAAATAAATAAAGTCACATAGATAATCTCTGAATTAAGACAGAAGCCATGGCACTTTGAGGCTTTAATGCAGCTGTTCTGTACAAAACGACTCTTTCTCAACTAGGGCTTCCAGGTGCTATTGTAAGTTAAATAATAATGTGCGAAATTACTCTCCAGACAGAAAGTAGTGGAGAAGATTGCATTCTTTTAGCCCTACCCATATGATCATGTCATTTCAATCTCCTTTTTTTCTGAATTACTGAATCATAACAAACAGGACATTCCAAAATACAGAACCACAATTGTTTCTCATACAAATAACTGACCTCCTAAAACAAAATGCACTTGTTTATCTAGAAATTCATATGTATTAGTCTTCAAGCTCCAATATCTGCATTGGTTTTACTGACATGCTAATATCAAATGGAAACAGATGTTTGCACAAGTCTTTTTCTTTAATCTTCAGAAATGTCATAGAGGTATTTCAGAAGGAATGTGTTTTCTTTGTTTCAGATCATACCAAGATAGTCACGTCTCTGTTTCACTACTGGATTACAGATATCCTTCCTGTGAAGAACAGGAAATAAAGCCTTGCCTGTGTCCATATGCCCAGGGTTAAAATTTAACATACAAACTCTTAACCAAGTAGCAATTGTTCAGGAAGAGCAGTGTCAATACACATTCTACACCTTCAGGTAAATGAATTATTTTTCTGTGTTATAAACTCCAGAAGACAATAAACAGGGTATAACTACATGTGATTTTTACGTTTGGTTGGTCAAGAATATGCATATGCTGTGTGGCCTGAGTCTTCAGCTGGGTTAGTATGTACATTTTGCTTTGGGATAAGGGACTTATCTGGAATCATAAAGTCTGTATCAAGTATTTTGTTTAACAAGTATAGTATCTTTTTGTTGTTGTTTATAAATTGATTGTGCCTTTCTGGAAGTTTTGTTTTTTCTTGTTTATCTGATATATCTCTACCTGAAAACCAGAAATATATTTTTATATTTAAATCTAAGCAACAATATGTCTGATGAATGTATTTTTGCTGAATAAACTGCTAAACTATGGAAACAGATAAATTTCTACATGTGGGTTGTGTAGATATTTCTTGGAGCTTGGAGAAGGTTGGATGGCATTTCAGAACTATTCCACGGCCCAGCCTGTTATAATCTGATGGGCTTCACTGATGGCAGAATTACGGGACTAGGTTCTCTCACTGATTACTGTATAGGCTTTCTGCAACTGAATTTACCCATGTGTAGATGATACAGTAGATAATATCTATGGTTGTAAAATGTTTTGGAATTCTGAAGAAAAAAATGCTTCATAAGTGAGAGGCTCTTCTCTCAGCTGAGTCATTCACCTGATAGGTGATACAGAGCAAACCATTTCTCATATTTTAGTGTGTTAGCTTCCTCATCAGTAGGATAGGGGCAACATTTTTATATCCTCCAAAATGTGCTTGTAGATATATTACTGAGTAGACTGTATAAACATTGCATGGGGTTTTTGTTTTTGGTTTTTTATTATATTGCCTGATATATCCTATTGCAAGGCATTGGTTTTAGTGATGCTCAAAAATTTATAATAAAAATACAGCCATACCCATTTCTCATTAATTGAAGAAGTTAAAAGGGGTTCTGTATCATGCTAAAGGATTGCAGGTGCAGAAAAAATGGTCTTATGGCTAATGCAGCTGTGTGCGGCTCGGGAGAACTTGAGTTAGGTCTGTATCTCAGAGGAAAGATACTTAAACCAGACTTTGCAGAGGGGAAACTAATAGTGTGTTCCCTGTTTTAATGCTCCTGCCTTGGTAACACATAGGTACTGAACTGTAGCTGTGACTTTTCACTGAGATGTTGTGTGCCTCAGTCCCACATCTGGAGAATGAGGAAAATATCACTTGAGTGTGAAGCACCTAGATACTTTATTGACACACCCCACAGGACGTTAATCACTTCATCCTCAGATTAAGGTTTGAATGTCATACAGTAAATGAGGCCTAGGAACTGCACAAAAAGGATATGCAGCAACTCATCATCTGTCCTATACACTGAAGATGAAAAAATAAATGAGATCATGTAATTAAAGACAGTATTTTGAAACACAAGTACAAACCAGGTCAAATTAGGACCATACAAACAAGTGTAGCGCCTGCATTTCTGATACTGGAGTGGCTGCACTGAAGGATGTTACAAGGCTGCTGCCTTGGATGGACCCCAGGACCTGGGCATTCCTCCTCCTTGTCCTCTGGATCCCAGGCTGGTGTACCTGGAGACCTGGATGTCTCTCCATCCCACGCCGATGGAGGTGACTGCAGCTTTCATCTTTCCAGACTCACGTGGTACTGAGGTTTAGCACATATCTCAGGGACACACGTGCACACACACGGACAGACACACACACGATGCTTACATGGCTGACTACGCAGGCTGCCACAGACAGGGCACTGCCTTTAACAACACCCATGAGTAACCCTGCCAGGACTCACATAAAACACGAGTACAGTCATCTTCTCTGACTGATTGGAATTGAAGTTCACGAGTGAAAAAGCTCACACCTACACTTCCTGGATTCGCAAGCTTTACCCGCATTCGCAGATCCCTCGAATACCAGCACAAGCCCCCAGCCTCTCTCATATCCCTGCCTGCATCCTGGATATATCCTAGATATATTTATCCTATATATAAGATATTTTTCCTGGATCCCAGCCTGACACATGCTATCACACATTCACACACTCATTTCACAAGCACTCACACACTCATGTCACAGCTTTGTTTATTGCTTTGATTTCTCTTCATTGTTTCTGTTTCAGTGGTTGGCCATTTCTCATAATATTAAAGTGATTTTTTTATAATTAAGATGAATTTTAAATAGCTGCATACAGAGGAGCAGATTTGGGTATTTTGCCAAACAGAATATTTTGTACTATCAGTAGTCTAATCCCAGAATGTGAGTAAAATTTCTCAGGTCAAAAATGTGCTTTCCTTGAATCGGGTAATAATGAGGAACAGATTGCTTTCAGTCTCTCTTTTTTCCCTTTACTTTAACCACTGTAACAGCCTTATATTCTGTGCAGAAATCAGCTGGTCCTAACAAAGCAAGCCTGGGAACAGTTTCAGAGCGTAGCTAGTTAGAGTCAGTGATATCTGATGTCTTTGTAAATGACCTGCGATAGGAGCTGAATCTTACACTTACCAGACCTGCCACTATTACACTAACAGGGATTATAAAGAAGAGAGGATAAAGTAAAATCTGAGATGTTGGAGAGTTTAGAAAATTGGACCAAATTCAAGCAGATAAATTGTAGATTGTCATTGTAGATAAATGCAATCGCATAAGAATGTGTTTGTTTCTGAAACAAACGTGCCAAACAATGGTGTGCTGAACTGCAACCTGTATAAGGACACTTAAGAGCAATACACGAAAGAATACAGCAGATGGATACAGTTTAAAAGCAAAAGAAATGGACATTACTTATCCTATAACAATATCAGTTAGGCAATGTACTAAAAATGGCAGGGTGGAAGGATTGTTTGGTACCATGTTTTAACATCCTGTTTGCAGTCAAAAATATTTCATACACAAGAATTCTAATACCTGGTCACTTTTCTGTGCTGCTTCTCTTAAAAAAATGGCACTGAATATCCCTACACCTTTTATGGTTTATTTGAGCAGTGGTATAACCAACACGGCTGGGATATGAAAACTGAAAAATTTAAATTAATATCCACCAGTGAACACAGTGTGTTTTACATTTCACTATATGTGGCTCCTTCAACATAGCAATGAAACATTTATCGCTTTGGATTTTAATGCTAAACTCATAATTGGCAAAGGAGATGGCCTTGAATTTTTGCTTCTTCCACATCATTCAGTCTAATGACTGTGCAGTATCATGGAATTTCTGAGGCATGGAAGAGTTTTTTTAGTGGACTTTGCATCAGAGAACTCCAGACTGAACTGTACACACGCCCTTATCAGCGTATTTCAAACTTCTGGGAAGACAGAACTTTAAAATTCTGTTTTTAAAACCTACACAGGCTCCAACAGTAGGAAGAATTTAAGGATCGAGTACAAAGTCGCCTGCATGTGGCTTCAAGACTTAACTTCCTAGTTTGCATGATTAAACATTACACAGTAAGGAAGGAACAGCAGCACAGTGGGAGAGAAATCAGGCTCTGAGTAGGTGGTGGTCCCTTCCCTAGGCTCTGTGTACAAGGAACACCACAGAGGCTGGAGTAGTTTTGGGCATCAGTAGTAGTGAATACCTGGTCACTACACGTGTATGCAAGGGTATGAGTTCAAAGCCATTATGTCTATATATAGGTACATGTTTTATTCTCAAAATTGCCTGTAAGACCCTAATTCTTTCTTTTGTGGATATGTAATGTGGGAATCAGTCTCTAATGTTACAGGTTTTTACTGCTTCATAAATGGTACAATATTTTATATAGTACTTTACAATCATGTAGAGTTATAAATTCCTTAATGGATTTTCTATGACAGGTGGCTTTTCTCCCCTGCACCAGTGCAGGGGGTACTACTCAGTAGGCTGAATCTCTGAAATGACATGGGGGAAAAAAAGGCTTTAAAAAAAAAGATAAGGAAGGAAACAAGTGGTGAGTGACAGCATGAAGGCAGAAAATTGTTAAGCTGTCTTTGACCAAAGAAAACATACTTCACTCAGTAATATCTGGTATATCATAAAACCAGTCCACAGCCATGGAGTAGAAAGTGGTGTGTTATGCTTGTACAGTATGCTACACATTAAGTATAATAACAAAGAATCATAGTGAAAAAAACAGCAAACTGTAAGATTGGAAAAATGCATTGTATTTAATATTTAGGCCAACCTTATGTTGTAGCTATGTAGATTTTGTGATTAATTGCTTCAGCCCTAGATTGCACCTAAGGAGGGCTGCATTGCACATGTTTATGCAGCTAATTTAGCTTCAGTGTTAACTACTTTATCCTCTGCATTGCATCTAAGTAAATTTTGTTGAATAGGCTAATTATAATGTCTGAGTATTTCACAATTTTTAATATATGTTTTTCTTAGATGAAAAAAATGTCAATTTTTAAACTGCTAGATATATGCTAAATTAAGCCATGGGGGAAAACACTACATAAGTATAAAGGAGAAGCAGAAATTTACAGGTGCGGTATATGTTTCCTATCTCTCACGATCTAGGTAAAAAAATATATATTTTATGATTATTTGAAAACAGTGTGTATGTACCACAGTCAGTCAAGGTCAAATATATAGCTTTAATAAGTACATTCACCAAGTTGAGTGCTTAACTTCGTAGAATTAATAGTCTGTAGTCATTTTAATGAACTGTATACATTTGTAAAACGTGTAAGCAAGCTGTAGTTCTCTTTTACGTTATTACTGCAATGCTACATCCTGTTTTAGGATACATAACACACAAAAAAGTGTTATGTAAGATTCAAGAGGACTACACAAAAACAGAGAAGGAATGAATCTGTGGTTCAATACCTTCTTTTCTTTTGCATCAACCCTAGGCTGCTTTGGATTGCATCAAGTAGAGGCTGCTTTTCTTCACTTCAAGATCTTTGCCAGTCTTCTCAGTCCCTCAGTCAGTGCACAGATGATTCTTCCATCTTCTCAGCCTCTGGTATTAGCTTCCATCACCCATGTGCTATATTTTCAGATTAACACATTTGTGCTTTTTCCCACAATGCCTTCCACAGCTCTCTACAGAGCAGTCTTTCTATCACCTTCCATTCCTTCTTTAAAACTGTCCTTTGCCATGATGCTGCCCAAAAGCTTGGCAACAGCAGGGTCAGCAGTGTGCTAAGGCAACTGCTTACTCTGCTGACTGATGTTGCCTTATTGTATCTGTGTACTCCTACATCAATCTGCCTATTTTCTCATCTGTTTTCTCCTTTCTTAAACTAGTAGCAATTTGATGCAGGGCTTGGGCTGCTGCACAGCACCCAGCACAGCAAATTTCTATTACATCTGAGGTGCCAACGTGCTAGGGGAATGTAATAGACTTAATTACAATCAAGAATATGCTAGAACATATAGGCAAGGCTGCTGATAGTTAAAAATGGCATAATAATTTTACATTGCGCACATGATCAGTCTAGTAAAACAGGGACCTGGTTCTCCCTAGTAGACACTTTGGAGGCAGTGTTCATGTGCAGCTTGCTAAGGAGAGCTTGGAGGGCATGCAGGGTGGGATTAATTTCTCCTAACTTCAGATGTCTACAGAATAAATGTTTCCATCTGAGCTGCCTATCCTAAAGAACTTTATAATCACTGGGACGAAATAGATACTTGTACAGCCCAATATAACTGATTGCTTCTAGACATCTATTTTAGGATAAGAACAATGGTACAAATAGGAGAACTTATGTCTTTACGTTGACTGTTATGGGAGAATTAACAGGTAGGTCAGATGGAAACACCTGCATTGCAGGCATCTGGATCTTGTAAAAAAAAATTCATTTACTGCATCTGAGAAAGGGACAGTAACGTACATGTTGCATGACTAAATCATCACCCGCCCCTGGTGCTGGTCTGGCAGTGGCAAGCTCCTTCAACTTGGACAGGGCTGTGACCCTCGCTCCTTGCTGCTTTCATACCTTCCATTGGGAAGCCATTGCCTGGGAGTAGTAAAAGGGAGAAGGAGAAGAAGAGTAAGGAGCAGTTGTACAGCTGTGCTTGGAACTCACCCAACACAAGCTAAGGAGCTGCTTCTCCTGCTCTTCCTCTTGTTCCTTTCATGCGATCATGCACAAAGTGGCCTCTGCCACTTCTGAGGTAGGCTCAGTAGAAGATTGCTGTGTGATTTAGTCCTCATCCCAGCAATAATAATGAAGTGGAAGTGAATATAAATGCAGAGAGGAGTAACCATTGCTAGGAATATCAAACTGATTACCCATTGCCTGTGTTCTAAAGAGTGAATCAAGAGCAAATATATTTATTGCGGAATCACAAGAGTAATCACCAAACTCTGTAGACATAATGATAGCTGTTTGATCTCTGTCTGGCATGTTGGAGCTTAAAATGAAGGTCATGTTCAAATCTGATTGGAATTCAGGGAAAGCATCTTAGCTTATTACCATTACTATAGTGCTGGATTCTATTTACATTGGTAAACAGTTTAAAATACTTGACATGTTATTCAATTAAATCTGTGATTGCTAACTGACAGACCAAAGTGCATTGATTTTTCCAACCACATTAAGCTAAGTACATGGTACAGTGTTTCATTAGCCTGTCTGCTTAACCCTTTCACATTAATTCAATTACCCAGTATAAAATTAAAGTGTAAAATATTAAATAACTCTAAATTTCTAAATTAGAAGGCATTGCAAGACTATATTCATCTCAATAGTTTCTGACATATATTTATTACTGGGTGATTTACAATCTGCTGCAGATCACATTGTTATCCAGATGGTAAAAGTCACTTAGAAAGTTTTTTCTCTGTACTCAGTAAATTGATAGATTCATAGAGGGTAAGACTAAAAAGGACATGAGATTATCTTCTCTGACCCCATCTAGATCCCTGGTCATAAATTTTCCTTTTACTTCAGGGTGAAGACCAGTAACTTCAGTCTGACAAAAGCACAATTTGTGGTTTTTGCTAAAGCAAGTCTTCTGCAGAGACAGGCAAGCTTGATTTAAAGACATCAGGAAATGAAGACATAGCCCCTTCTCTGGTCATTTATTCCAGTACTCAGTCACTCTCACAGTTAGAAACATGTGCCACATTTTAAATTTGAATTTGTCTAGATTTAACCTTCAGCCATTAGTTCTTGGTATGCTTTTCTTCACTAGATTAAGTAGTCCCTCACTAGCCACTGTTTTCTGTCTGTGAAAGTTTTTGAACACTGTAATCAAGCTACAATGCAACCTCCCTTTTTGGTACCCTAACCATTATCTCTTTAAATTATTTTATTTAAGACATTTTCTACGGCCTTCAAATTGGTTTTGTAGCTCTCTTGTACATTCTGTCCTTTTTTTTTTTTCCCACCATTTAGAGAACAAGTGTGCTGGAACTGCACATAGAACTTCATTTGAAATCTGAGCAGTGCCAGCTTTCGTACTCACTACTCCATTGTTTGTGGGTCCACTTTTTGCCATAGGATTGTAGATGTGCCGTGGTTTAACCCCAGCCAGCAACTAAGCACCACACAGCTGCTCGCTCACTCCCCACCACCCAGTGGGATGGGGGAGAGAATTGGGGAAAAAAAAGTAAAACTCATGGGTTGAGATAAAGGCAGTTTAATAGGACAGAAAGGAAGAAAATAATAACGATGATTATGATAATAACAATAACAATACAATTTCAATAATAATAATAATAAAAGAATTTGAATATACAAAACAAGTGATGCACAATGCAGTTGCTCACCACTCACCAACCAATGCCCAGTTAGTTCCTGAGCAGTGATCCCCCCAGGCCAACTCCCCCCCAGTTTATATACTGGACATGACATCACACGGTATGGAATACCCCTTTGGCCAGTTTGGGTCAGGTGTCCTGGCTGTGTCCCCTCCCAACTTCTTGTGCCCCTCCAGCCTTCTTGCTGACTGGGCTCGAGAAGCTGGAAAATCCTTGACTTAGTCTAAACCCTACTTAGCAACAACTGAAAACATCAGTGTGTTATCAACATTCTTCTCATACTGAAACCAAACCATAACACTATACCAGCTACTAGAAAGAAAATTCACTTTATCCCAGCCGAAACCAGGACAATAGGGAGTCCATGTTGAATTATTTGTTATAGTAGACAAGTACTCTTGGAATTTATTGCTCTCCAGGATTTAGGCCCTGGTTCCATGCCTCTTGTTCTTAAATGTCTGACTTTCTGTTTGGCTGTATTAACGTTAATTTTCTTTGACTATGTCTAGATTAGTAAATGATGGATTGTTTTGTGTGCCTGTACTGCTTTCATTAGTATCGACTATCTGCTGATCTTGGTGTCATCTGCAAATTTTACCAGCAATGATTCTGTGTTTACTTACAGGTCATTAATAAAAATGCTGAATGGTTTCAAGTACTAGTACTAATCTTTATGGGATCCAAAGAGAAATAACATCATTCTGTCATGATTCCCTACTTACACCTTCTTTTTGAAAACAGAAAACTGAGATCATCTACTGGATTTCTAATGTATTTGACATGTACTTTATTGTCTTACATGCTTTTTTTGTTTTGATCAGAAAGTCACGTGGCACTACGTAACTTCACAGGAGTTGTCTGCTGCTGTCAACAAACATTTCTTCAGTTTTCTACAAGAACAAGCTTTAATTTTTTAATGTAAGGATAAGAGTCCAAACTAAAGACAATGTACAAAAAAATACAGAATTGTGGTTTAGAGTATGTTTAAGGGGAAGCAGAATAATCAAAAAGTATTCAAAGTAAATAGCCTCTCAAATTTGTCTTATGTGTTTTCAATTTGTTGCTCTGCAGGGAATGATTTGCATTAGTTAAGAATGATTGTTGTGAAAGATTACTTATTTTTAAACATCAAAGGATAATTCATATTTCTTTCTTTTCCTGTGAGATGTGATCCATAACTTTAGTTATGAAGGTGTCTAGCGTGTGCATTATCTG